AAAAAAAAAAAAAAAAAAAAAGGAAACATTAGACTATCTTACAACATGGATGAACCTGAAAAATATTATCCTCGGTGAAAGAAACTGAAGACCAAATACTGCATGACTCCATTTATATAAAATATCCAGAATATGCAAATACATAGACAGAAAATAAATTAATGGTTACCAGAGGATACAGGGGAAAAGAAAGACTACTAACAAAGTACAGTGTTTCTTCTGTCATAATGGAAATGTTCTGGAATTAAAAAGTGGTGATGGCTGGAGAGCCCTCTGAATAAATAAAAAAAAAAATAGGCAAGAGTTGAAATGAAATGATAGCTATGACCAAAATGAAGGCTGAAAAGCTCTATGGTTATGCAAAATAGGTTTTTATGGTTATGCAGACTAGGGAGTCCTTTGGGTGGGCATGATGGCCTCCCTCATCCCAACATGCCATGAAATGTGGCATTTTCTGCTGTTCTTGGAAATCCCCACCCTTGGAGTAAGCAGTTACTCTCAGAGAATGTGGAGGATTTTCCCCAGTTGGGGACTGTGGTATGCTTGTGTTTACTGACCAAGCACTGACCCTGGGGTGTGTAGTGTGAAAGGGAAACCGAACTACTCATGACACTTATAAACCACCTTCCTGGTTCTCTGACCCCTTCTCCTGGTGTGGTTGAGTCTATTGCTGTCTGTTTTGGGGTGCAGTCCAGCCTCTAGACTGCTGTTGTGAGCTGCTGCAGTGTTACCTCATCTTCCATGAGTTCCTTTGTTTGGGACTGCTGGATACTGCGGACACTACCTGGGGTGAGACGGCTGGCCACTTGTGGCCTTAAAAATGACTTCCTTTTCCCTAATTATCTGTTTGTTAAATAAGCCTACCTGGTCTTGCAATTGTGTGCATAGGTGTGATCTCACCAACAGTTGCCTGTCTTCTACCTCAGGCACTGTCCCTCAGTACTCTTTGAACTCTTTTCAATTGTTCAAGAGTTTTTCTACTCTTAGAGTGTTATTTCAGTGTGAGTCTTCTTCCTTGCCCTGAGTTAACACTGAAAGTGTGGGCAGAGTCTGAATCCTGAGAGAAAACCTGTGAAATGTAGTCCTGCTGAAGAGTGCCATTGCTTCTGCCTAGCCAGAGGAAATCCTAATGGCTGCTACAGCATTGGATGTGAACTTCAGGCATCAGTCGCCCAAAACACTTTATATATAATTTCAATATTACTTCTGTCATGCAGGTTTTAGGCAAAAATGTGTGGCCTCCTCCCAGATTTAAGTTTTGAGAGACAGGGTGTTCAGTCCTGGCTTCTATATTTGGCAAACAGTAGTTGTTTCATGAAGTGTGTGAATGGACAATATTTAGAGGAGTATACTCTTGTGAAATATTGCACAACTGATTTAGAACAGGGGTAAGTTCTTGCTGAACGCAGAGAACATGTTCCTATGACTAGCACCCATTCTCACATTCAAAACATTTACCAGGTCAAAAGAAAAAGGTAAAAAGTAATTTTCACTGAAAATTTTTAAAGAAACTGATATAAACAAGGGTGGATAAACATTTAGCAATTTATATAAAGACTGTCACCTCAGTGTCATCAGCCAGGAGGAAGTGTGCAGAGATCAGAAAAGCTGGGTCAGCAGCATTCAGGGAGCAGCGTAGTTCCAGGACCACAGTCTCTTTAACACCCTCTGCCCCAATCTGAAAAACAAGTGGTTACCTGGCAAGGTGCACTCATAAACAAACCACAACCCATTTTAAAATGTTGATTATGGAGATAAAAATCAGTAATAACATTAAGTGTAAGAAAAAAGTTTAATCATGAAATCATTCTAGAGATATATGATACTATTAATATTTCGGTATATGTCCTTCCTCTATTTATACTAGAGATACCTGTCTATACCTAAACAGTAGTTGCTTATTACAGCATAAATATTACTTTCAAGTTACATTTCATACATACATTTTTTTAAGATTTATTTTTGTTTTATGCATACAGAACTGGTAAAAAGACCAGAGGTGTGGAGTGAGAGGATCCAGAGACAGAGTGGGGAGCAGAATAGGCAGATCTACTGAAATACACTGTTGAGGGAAGCAGCAGGTGAGACAGGGGAGGCCTGATGTGCCATATGGGTTAGCTCCCTAGCGGGGGATCAAACTATGTATGCCCCAGTGGCTGGCGATAGCTTGGTAACACTGAAACTTAACTCCTGTGCCAGAATGGTGGCCCTCGTATACATTTTAATAAATAAAATGTCCAAAAATACAAATAGAACATTATTTTGAATTAGTGTGCATCTGTGTGATATTGGAGAAAAAGTTGGTTTTTCTTTGTAAAACAATGTAGAGTAATTGAAATTTGATGTGGTGTAAATACTTGGTGTTATAAAATTTACTCTTATAAAATCCAAGAAAATACAGACAGACAAGAAGTTAGAATAACACCAAGCTACCACAATGAAAAGGAAACTACAACAAGAAACATAATAGTAAAGTTCCCAAAGGTACAAGAAAAGAAAAAATAATGGAACTGATGAGGACAAAGAAACAGATAATCTACAAAGGAAAACCAATCATGCTGACATCAGAATTCTCTGAAGAAACACTAAGGGCAAGAAGAAAATGGAGACACATATTTAAAAACTCCAAGTCAACAAATTCCAACTTGCTCTCCTTCACCTATGATGGAAAATTAAAAACTTCTCAGACAAATGAAATATCCAGAAATTCATTACTACTAAACCCTGCTCCGAAAGATACTACAAAAAAACCTAGAGCAAAATCAGATACAGAAAGAAGATGGTGGCAGGGTAAAGACATCAAGATCACTGCGTCCAGGCCTACATAGGAATTGAGGACTAAAAACGGACTATAGAATGACTTACTGCAAGTTTCAACCCAAATGAAAACACCCTGGACTCACTAGAAGGTAACTAACTGAGGGGGAATCGGGGATTGGGGAGATCCCTTCTGGGAACTCCTGGGAAAACCCAGGTGCCTGGAAGTTCCTCAGGCTGCAGGAGCTGCTTTGCCCCACGCTAAACCCTGGAGGTGAAGAGGGACGGCTCAGCTCAGTAAGTGGAGCCCAGGCTGCGGAAAGACTGCAAATCTGATCCTCAATACCTGGGTGAGGGAAAAACCGCTGAAACTACAGACTCGATCCGGAGCACCTGGGAGCCACGCAAAGCTGCTGATCAGCTCCACCAGCTCAGGAACCGGCAAGATGGCGGCAGAATAAAGACTCGAGACAACTACATCCAAACTCGCACAGGATTATATAAAACCGGACTAGACTTTCATGCTACGAGTTTCAACCCAAATGAGAACGCCCTGGACTCACTAGAAGGAAAATAACTGAGGGAGAACTGGCGATTGGGGAGTTCCCATAAGGGAAGCCGCACAGGCAGGATTAGCTGAGGGAAAGCCAGTGGCTTCCAACTCGTTCGGCTCCTTTAAAAATCTAGGCGCATGGAGGCCAGGAAACGCTGCAGAGGGAAACTGCCTGAGGCAGCTGTAGCTGCTCGGCAGCCTTTTGTTCCAGCCCTGCTACAACCCTGGAGATAAACTGAGACAATTCAGCTAGGGAACAGAAACCAAATCGTGGGAAAAGGCTGCAGCTCAGAACCAGAGACCGGAGGATATGCCACAAACTTGTTGCTGACCTTTGCCCCAGCAACCCCGACAAAGCCCTGGATATAAGCTGAGACAACACAGCTAAGTGGGGGGGTTGGGGGGTGGGGGGATCCAACCACAGGCTCAACCCTAGGATAATGCAGCAATTTTAACAATCTTGCATGGGCACATTCAACATAGAGAGGCCCTAGGAAGTGCCTCAAACGGGGAGACTTGCTCAGGGGTCTACCTGCTTACCACATCTACCCACAAAAACTGTGGTAAAACCCTGGAGTTAAAGAGATACAGCTGGACTCTGTGAAAGGACCTCAGGCAGGGGGGAGGCACTGCTCAGGGTGGGACTATTTGGACTAAACAAAAAGAGCCCTGAAAGCTTAAAGGGAGGACTGGCAACCTGCTCAACTGGGAGGATTTCAGCCCTCTGGTACTCCCCTGCACTCCTGTGGGGAGGGGGAGATCCCACCCCCACAACATAGGCCCCAAGAAGACTTGGGAGCTATCAGTACTTAGAGTGTAAACAAAGCCAGCCAACAACTCAACCAAAGGCCTTGTTCCAGGGAGACCTACAACACTTCTAATTCATCATAACCACCACGAGCACACCAAGCATAGAGGGAACCTGGGACATCAGAAGGCTACAAAGACCAACAGACAACTTCCAGAAACACGGCCTCAATGTGTTACTAGAAGAGGCTGAACAACACAAGAGTCCCCTGACTGTTACCAGCTAAGACAACAGACACAATTACACACAGTGGGGGCTGGGAAAAACAACACAACTCAGAATACCCTCCACAACTGAAGTGTCTGGAAGTCCCTCAGCTATTCCAGAGAGAACATCCCCCCCCCCAAAAAAAAATGCCGGCCAATAATAGCAATACCGTATCTCAGTGAATAGAAAGTATTAGAAAATACACAACAGGGAAAAGAAGACAAACAAATATTCAAGCAAGTCCACATGGGGGAAAATTCAACACAAAAAGATCAGGCAACAGAAACCACCAAAGAAATAGAAGAACTGTTCAACCTACCAGATAAAGAATTCAGAATTATCATGATAAACAAACAAAATGAAATGAGGCAAGCCATCCAGGAGTTGAAGGAAACGGATGAAAGAAATGAAAAAAATATGAGACAAGCAATCAGCTAACTAAAGAAAGAAAATGAGACATTAAAAAAGGAAATAGAAGAAATGCAGGCCATGAAAAGGCCACTAGAAGAGATAAAGAATGCTGGGAAAAGTTATGAAAACAGAATAGATGA